TGGGCATGCACGCACACACGCCCAGCATGAGTTTTAAGTCACGGGGTCCGAGACATGAACCGCAGTCGACTACATGGGAGTCCAGCGACATAGCCATTACGCTAACTGCTGGTCCTGATAATATATATATAATATCTTTGACTGAATCAATATACAGTGTATTTGTGATGGGAAAATTAATTTGGTATGCTATAATAATAAACAGTGAAAGTAAAAATTAATTAATTATTTGCAAATTAAGATATTTGGCTAAATTGAATAAATCAAATGTCACAAACCAAGTAATTTACCTTAAAGATACTTTTCTTCAAAGACTTCAATATTCCATAATTCTCAATAGTATCTGCCCTAGGTTTTAATTCTTAGCCAAAATAGTTACACTACACGTACTCACACATACATACATACACACACAATGTTTTCACCATTACACAGAAGTATTTGCCTTCTTCCATTATATACAAGGGTGGATATAAAATTCATTGTAGCTTCCTAAAAACTACCCTTCACTTAAGAGTATATAGTATAGGAAAAGCAAACCCTGAAGTCAGGACAATGGTTGTCTTTGGTAATGAAACAGAGGATGTAATTTGAAATGGGTAAGCAGAGGGCATATATATAATGGCATAGTGATATTTATTTCTTAAAGTAGGTGGTGAGCACATGAGTACTTGTACTGTTGTTACTTTTTCTATGTATTGAATAGTGCAAAATAAATTTTTAAATGGTATATAAATAAAAATAAATACTATACACAGTGAAAACAAACAAACAATAAAAGAGTATATATTATGGGGGCCGGCAGGTGGCATGGTGGTTAAAGGCACTAGGCTCGCACATGGCTGACCATGGTTCAAGTCCCAAACCTAGTGACTTGCTTTCTCACTTTCACTCTCTCTCTCTTGCTCTCTGATCAAACTAGAAAATAATAATAATAAATAAATAAACTTAAAATAATTATTTTTTAAAAATAGTATATAGTATAGTATCATTTACTGGACTGGTGTGAAGTGTATTCATGTTGGGTAAATTCAAGTTACAAGCTAAGTGATAGTATACTGACTGAATGTATAAAAGAAAGAAAAGAAAATGGAGTGATAATAAACTGATTATAAGAGATGGTTGCCCAACTCTGTAAATATTAAAAACACACACACAGAATACATTAGGCACTTTAAGTGGATGAATTATATGGTACATGATTTATCTCGCAATAAAACTGTAACCAAAAAAGTGATTAAAATATTACTTTTAATATAAAACCTCTTATTCACAAGGTCTTGGTATGGAGGATTATCAAGGAAAGGTGTCAGTGTTATTAATCAGGAAACAATGAGCAAGAATAAGCAATGAAAATTAGTCAAATTTGCACCTCATGTCCCGAAATCATACAAACATGAACACCCCCAAATTCCTCATTCACAGCTGAGTGGAACAACACTGTCAAGTTTCTTCAGTCCAAGAAACAGCGCTGCTTGAAGGCATACTTTTCTCTTACAATAATGATATTCCACAAGGGTACTGTGTGCTTCTTTAATCATCAAAAAGCTAATGTCTTACACACAAATCAATGGAACAGATCAATAGAGAACTCCGAAGTAGACTAATACAACTATGCCTGAGTGATTTTTTACAAAGGTGCAAAAAGAATTCAATAGAGAAATTTGCCTTTTCAACAAACGGTGCTGAAGCAATTAGAAACCTATAGGCAAAATAATAATAATAATAATAATAATAATAGGAGTCAGTTCCATGTTACAGAAGTGATGTGCTGCTCAAAAGAAGATGGATCCACCTGGTGACCTCAGTTCAAATCCCTGGCCCCGTTACCCAGAATGCCAAGCATGTGCATGAGTGCCCAGGATCCTGGCAGGCTGGAGGACTGGAAGGAGGGGACTGCAGCATGACCAGACCCTGAGGAGGGTGCCTCTCTCTCCTCTCTCCCTTTCTCTCCCTCTTATACTATCACAAATGAAGAAAAAAATTTAATTAAAAAACTAATAGCATAAATGCCACATCTTATGCAAAAAAAGGAACTTGAAAATATATCACAGACTTAAATGTATGAGAAAAATTATGAAACACTTAGAAGTATAGAATAAAATCTTCAGGAGCTAAGTCTATGTGAAGTCTTTTTAAACTTGACACTAAAGCGCAATTCACAGAAAGAAAACTTGATAATTGAGACTAATCAAAATTTAAAACTTCGCTGTGTGAAGACCCTGTTAAGAGAATGAAAACAAGCTACAGAATGGGAGAAACTATTTGCAAACTACTGTTACAATAAAGGACTCCTATCTAGAATACATTGTTTAAAAGTCTGAAAACTCAACAGTAAAAGAACAGATCGAGCAGTTACAAAACGGGCAAAAGAGGAGAGATTTTTGTTGATGACGACATACCAACTGCAAATGAGCTCAGGAAAACATATTTAATTAGTCATTATGAAAATGCAGGTTAAAACCACAATGTGATATCACTGTGCACCTATCAGAAGGGTTAAAATGAAAAATAATGACATCAAGTGCTATCAAGGATGCAGAAAACAGGATCACTCATACATTAGTAAATGTAAAAGAACAGTCACTCTGGAAAACACTTAGGCAACTTCTTACAAAACTGCACTGGTGGGGCCAGCAGGTGGCGTGCTGGTTAAGGCACTGGACTCCCTCATGGCCAACGACAGTTGGAGTCCTGGGCCTGGTGGCTTGAAAATCACTCCAGGTGCATGTGAATGCATGTCCTAAATCCCAGGAGGAGAAGGGAGGAGAAAAGATTACAGCATGACCACCCCGGGGGATGATTTCACACTTCCCATCTCACTGTCTCTGTCTCTCTGTGGTGAGTACATGCACCCTATGGGGGGGAAAAAAACTAAAAAAAAAAAATTCCCTGCACATGCAACTATCAGATGGCCCACTCTTGAGTGTTTATACCAGAGAAATGAAAGCCATCTGCACAAAACTCCTACACATAAAATGTTCCGAGGAGCTTTACTCATAATAGCCAAAACTGGGAATGATCTCAATGTCCTTCGGTGGGGGTAAATAATTAAACAAACTGATACACCCATACTATGGAATTCTCCTCAGCAATGAAGAGAAACAAACCATTGATATACACAACAACCTGGACAGATCTCAAGGGACTTATGCTGAGTGAAGAAAGCTAATTTCAAAAGGTTACATACTGTATGGTTCCATTTATATAACTTTCCTGAAATAACGACACTATAAAAATGGAGAAGAGATGGGTGTTTGTCCGAGTAAGGAATGTAAGAGAGAGGCAATGCAAGCTACTAAAGGGAAGCATGAGGAAGCCTTGTGGTAACAGAACGAGTCTGCATCTTGCTTACCTTGATTGTGGTCGTAGTTACACGAATCTGCACATTGAATAACATTGCAAAGTATCTCCTTCTTTCCATCCTTCAATGAACACACACACAAACACACACACACTACTCCATGAAAACTAGTGAAATACAAGCAAGCTCTGTGTGTTGTACAGTTGTCATTTTCTGGTTTTGATATTCTATTATAGTCATGCAAGATGTCACTGGGCAAAACTGGGTGAAGGGTACATGGGACCTCCCCGTTCATATTTTTTTTCAAACTTACTATGAATCTATAATTATTTTTTAAATATATTTTTTAATTTTCTAAAAATTTTAATCATTTCACAAGTGTATACAAATACATGAAAACTGATCAAATTACACACTTTCAATATATATAGTTTATTGTACTTCAGTCATTCTTTAATAAAGTCAGGAAAAAAGATAAATATCATTCATTATAACAGCTTTATCTCCAAATAAGATAAGATATTGAAGGTGGGCCAGCAGGTGGAGTGGAGGTTAAGGTACTAGATCTCACATAGTTGACTCCATGCTTCAAGTCTTGGACCCAGCAGCTCGAAAATCATACTGACGAGGCTGGCAGGTAGTATGGTGGTTAAAGGCGCTGGACTCCCACATGGCCAACCATGGTTCAAGTCCTGGACCTGGCAGCTTGCTTTCTCACTTTCCCTTTCTCTCTGATCAAACTGGAAAATAATAATAATAAAGTTTTTTTCTAAAAAAAAAGAAAATCATACTGAGTATGTGTGCATGTATATCCAAAATCCCAAGAGGAGAATGAAAGAGAAGGGATTGTAGCATGGCTATACCCCCGGTGGGTAATTTATCTCTCTCTCTCTCTCTCTGGTGATCACACATGTCTATGGCAAAAACTAAAAAAAAAAAGATATTGAAGGCAATACCAACAGACACTGAGAGTCCAATAACATCTGCTTATATCACCCTACCCAAAATATGCACAAAACAATAAACCAACTTTTTCTTTATAAAGTAAATACAACATTTCAAATATAAAACCTTTACAGGAGCTACTAACTACTGCAGATAACTTACAGAGTGTATTTTAACGCACTCTTCTGACAATACCAGATTCTACCTCTTCTTCTCTTTCTCTACCTCCTTTTACTTATTTTAATGAGACAGAAAAGGAGAGTGAGAGAGCAATATCTAAGAGGTACTTTTGACAGGATCAAGCCATGCCACAATCCTCCTGTCCCCGCTGCCCAGTTAGGCAGGACTACAGGCAAGCTCCCACAAGCCATGTTTAAGTTGGTCAGGGATCTGAACCCTGGCCTTCCATGTGGTTCCAGCACATGCCCTTGGGCAAATTAAAAACTCTTCTTTACAATTGTTAAGTTTTCAGTTTGGGGAAGATTCTTTTTTTTTCTTTCTTTTCCCCAAAGAATCACTTTTTTATTCAACTCTACCCATTTATTTACATGTATTTATTTTAATTTGACCATAGAGGGACAGAATGAGAGAGAGAGAGAGAGAGGTAAAGTGAGAAAGCCGGCCGCCAGGTCCGAGACTCAAACCACAGTGGGCCATGTGGGAGTCCAGCATCCTCAACCACCATGCCACCTGACAGCCCTGAGAAAATTAATTTTAAAATAAGATTTAATAATAAGATTAGTTGAATAACCTTATAAGGAGATGATGTTATTCGTTCTCCAAACAGTATTTGTCCAAGATTTTCAGAAGGCCTTTTCTTTCTAGGGTCTTGGCAGAAGTCAAAGCTAAGAGAAAAAAGGCTCAAGTAAGACAAAAACATCAGCAAACAAACGAGTCTTTGTAATTCACCTAGGCTCACTACTGTTAATAGTATTCTCTTCAAAATATGATCCAATAATAAGGACCCATTATATATTTCTCTTTAGATTGTTTACCCTTTGAAAAGTATGAATTCATTATTTCAAATGCTCATGTTACTGCTCCTAACTTTTTAAGTGTAGGTAATTACAATCTTTAAAACAAAACAAGGAACCAGCAGATGGTGTAATGGTTACATCACTGGACTCCCACATTGTCCATCGCAGTTCAAGTTCCAGACCTGACAGCTTACACCTCACGCCGAGCACATGTGCGCGTGTGCCCAAAATTCTGAGAGGAGAATGGAGGAGAAGGGATTGCGGCATGGCCATCCCGCCAGGGGATGATTTCTCACTTTCTGTCTCTCTGGAAAGCGAACATGCCCTATAGCAAAAATCTCTCTAAAAAACAATTTCAGGGTTAAACTTCAACTTACAGACAAACAAACAAGCAATAGTTTAAAGCCTGTACTAATTCTAACCTGAGACATTTAGAAACTGTAATTGTCAGTTCTGATCAAAGGGAAACTTAAAGAACAAAGTCTTCCTCAAACATTCCTAAGCTCTCACTCACAAATCAAAGGGTTACCAAGTGAAAAGAATTACAACTACCTTTCAGTAAATTTGAATATAAAATAGCTTAAGTAGAACATAAAATAAATGGTAGTCTTGTATAATATTTTAAACACTCATACTAACACCCTACATTTATAACTGGTATTTAATGAAAATCAGATATGATTTTATTTTATTTCTGCTTAGAGGAAGTAAAGTAACACCAAAGGGAACTACATCATTTATTGTTATTCTACAATGACTGATCATACTTCATCTTAATCATGTAAAACTGCTCGCTATTAAACTTAATACCTTCGTCTGTTAAAAACATTACTTTATATAAACTTACCTATTCTGTGTTTTAAAAGAAGCTACAACTCTGCAAAGATATTTTTCTAAATCCAAGCTGTAGTACCACTTATAAATTTGCCTTTCTTAGAAAAAAAAAAATCAAGTATAACAGTCTCCTAATTTTAAAAACATTTATCTCTGTTCTAACCATTTTTTTCTATTACCTTTAATACAAATGATCATTGCATTTCTTAACATACCCAGGCACTCATTCATAATTTTTTTTCTTTTTTTTTTGTTTGTTTTTTTGGAGAAGTTTTTTTGCTATAGGGCACGTGCGCTCACCAGACAGAGACAGAAAGACAGACAGAAACTGAGGAATCACCCCGGGGGTGGGAGGGGTGGCCACGCCGCAATCCCTTCTCCTCCATTCTCCTCTCAGGATCTTGGGCACGCACACACACGCGCCCGGCGTGAGTTTTAAGCCACCAGGTCTGGGACGCAAATCGCAGTCAACTACGTGGGAGTCCAGCAACATAGCCATTACGCTAACTACTGGTCCCCATAATTTTTTAAATATTAAGGCACATTTTAACATAATGATATCAAGTCATACTTACGTATTATATTCATAAGGCAGCACAGATTCCACAGAGTCCAATCTATTTACAAATAGTGGTATGGATGACTAAGAGAAGGAAAAAGCACATTCATTAATAGCACAATGTAAAATAAGGTAGCACCTCCAAAATACGTAATGAAGCAACTGAAAGGTAATTGGGCCTGTTGCTACCAACAATTTATAACTTCATAGTTATAAATGTATAATTTAGTATAGTTATAAATTTATAACATGGCTATAAATTTATAACTTAGTACAGCTATAAATTTTTAACACAGTATAGCTATAAATTCATAACATTTAATTTATCTAGCAATATTGGGTTCTCTGGATGCATAAATTTTTCAGATACATCAGCCGTTCTTAACCTTTTTTTAATTATGAAACCCTTGGAGAATATGATGAAAGCTATGGCCCCCTCTTCCCAGAAAAATACACGTATTCACCAAATTCTCTGTTCAGTTTCAAGAGGCACCATAGAGCCCCTGGAGTCCACAGAAATCAAGTAAAAAACTTGAGTAATTAAAGCTACTTTCATAAAGTGCTGTTTTGTATTATTTTAACCTTTTTCATAAGAATCATTCGGGAATACACTCCCGTTTCTTATCTTAAACAGCATAATAATGACCACAATCTGACCTTCCTTAATGACTCAGGGTCATTTTGGACATCACTCATTACACCTGATTTGACTCCGTGACATTCTCAGGATCAAAGTAAGAAGAACTATGTGTCGCCAAACTAAATGGCAAAAGACCACTACCCCCTAAGCCCACTTCCACATCCCTTCATCCCCACCGCAGAACTTGTTTCTGAAGGTTTTATGGCTCTTTCATCTTGGCCGTCAGATGCTATGCCAGCTCCTCCTCCATCTTCACCTTCCCCCTTATCTGCTAGAGACCTGGAATTCTATTTGTGGAATAAACAGAGTCATTAAAACTGCATCTAAAAGAGTATTTGAGAGTGTGCGATTTAGTACATGAACATTGTGGCATCTATCCTGGCTCTTTCTGGGTCATTTCTGCTTACTTTTGTGAATCTCAGCTATATTTCTGATCATTTACCTCATTGGATTTGTTAAACCACTGAAACAGCAGAGGTTTACTAATCACTTTATCCTTAATGAAAATTCCATGTGGGACTTTTAAAAAAAATAAACATCTGATACTACTTTTATCATCTGGTTGTCTTTTTTTTTTTTTAAAGAAGAGAATGTAGAAAATTATCAAATTTGGAAACAAATAGCCTTACTATAACTCTATAACAAGAGAACTGTACCTGAACTTTGTACAACCTAATAAAAAATTAGCAACTACAGGGACCAGCAGTTGGCATAATGGCTATGTCACTGGACTCCCATGTAGCCAACCATGCTTCGAGTTCCGGACCCAGTGGCTTAAACTCATGATGGGTGCATGTGTGTTCATGCCAAAGATCCCAAGGGGAGAATGGAGGAAAAGGGATTGTGATGTGGCCATCCTCCCTGGGTGGGGGTGGTTTCTCGCTTTCTGTTTCTCTGTGTCTCTCTGTCTTCCTGGTGAGCACACGTGCCCTATAGCAAAACCAAAAAAAAAGCAACTACAATATAAATTGGTTATATGCTTAAAAAAGTGAATAGGCATGCCAGCCCCATAGTCTAGTGGTTAAGACAGTCAAATCCCACAACACCCAGGTGCAATTTGAGCTTGAAAGACACACCAAGCATACAAAAATGCCAATGAGGGGGCCAGCAGGTGATGTGGTGGTTAAGGAATTGGACTCCCATATGGCCGACCTTGGTTCAAGTCCCAGATCTGGTGGCTTGCTTTCTCACTTTCCACCCCCTCTGTGTGTGTGTCTCTCTCTGGTGAGTGCCGTATCAAATTTTTTAAAAATGATAAATAAAATTAAATATTTTTTAAAATTTAAGTGCTAAAAGGATGGAGAAGTGGAGAAAGGAGGGGCACTTTCTCTCTCTCCCTTCTCCATCTCCCTCCTGAGAGCATATACCCTGTGGCAATAAAAACCTATTCCCCAGGGCTGGCAGGAGGTGTGGTGGTTAAGGGCACAGGACTCCCACAAGGCTGATCACGGTTTGAGTCCCAGACCTGGTAGCTTGCTTTCTCTCTCTGTCTTTCTCTGGTCAAATTTAAATAAATAAATAAATAAATAAAGTTAAATAAAATAATTCTTTTAAAAAAATTGCATAACCTTCTACCGGAACACTCCCCGACATTGCAGAAGAGGCAAATAGGGGTCTGAAAGTCAGTCTTATTCACTAATACCTTTTGAGTTGATGGCATATATACACATACATTTGCATCATCTTATAACTTTACAAAGGAGGAGGGTTACCAAAGAAGGGAGTCAAAGAATTATTGCAGGGGGGCCAGGGCCAGGGGCTGGGAGCAGGGGGATAGGGCGGAATTGTGCCCGAAGTCTGGCTAAAGAAACTTGATAAGTTACCATTCATTGAAAACTTACTATGTGCCAGGTGTCACTGTGAGTGCCCCTGACCCACTGTCTCATTTTATTCTCAGGAGTCTCTAGAGGTAAATAGTTAATAGCTTGGCATCTACGGAGGGAGGAGCCAGGAAATCAAAGCGGGTTGATGAGGATTAAGAGGGTAAAAGTGTGAGACTGTAGGAGCAAGGGGTGACAGAAACAGGACGGTATCTAAGCGAGATCACAATGAAGTGTGGACTGCGAAGGGGGATTGCGTGGGGGGAGCAGGAAACTGGAGGGGGGAGGGGTTTATAGATGCTGAGAGGGAGAGGGAAGAGTTGAGAGGCCAATAGGGAAGGGGAGAGGGCCGAGTTTATTGGGAGCGGGAGCTCACAGGGAACTGAAGACTGGGGCGAAGAGGTCTCGAGGAAGGGGTAGAGGGGGAGGACCCAAGAGGGAGGGAAGGAGAAAGGAGACTAGAGGAAGGCGGAGGAGCAGCCAAGCGGGAGGGGGCAAGGAAGAGCGAGAAGAGGGGGAGGAGCTGAACGGGAATTGGTGGGACAGAGAGGAAGGGGCGGGGCAAGGGGCACAGGCAAGGGGGCTACTGAGAGGAGCCAATAAACGAGGGGATGGGCGGAGCCGAAAGGAAGGGCGGAGCCTAGAGAGGTGGATCCCGGAGGGAAGAGAAGGAGGGGCTGAGAGGGAGAGGAGAAGACGGAAAGGGAGGGGCTGTGAGGGAAGAGATGCTATGAGGGAGTTGCAGGAACCCGGAGCGAGGGGACGAGGCTCCAGGAACAAAGATCTGGATCTGCCAAGTGGGAGGCTCAGAGATTGAGAGAGCCAGAGACATCCCCAGAGAGGACCCGGGCCTTCCGGCTACGAGTCCACGAGCTCCCACCCGCGTGGGCACCGGTCTGCCCCAGGCCCCTTCCCAAAGTGGTACCCTCACACTCACTCCCTCGGTCCTCACCTGGCAGGACTCGGTCTCTCGGTCTGCCTCGCAGAAGCTGACCGGACCCAACCCGGGGAGGTAGAAAGCTGTGCCGAGAGTGGCCTGAAGCCCCAGGAGCAGCTCCAGCCCCAGCAGCCACCTCTGCCTGGAGAGGGCGGCCCAGAGGCACCAGAGCACGGTTCCCACACAGAAACCGCGAGCACACATTTTAGGAGCCGGCTCGGCTGCCGGGGACGCACACCGAGAGCGGGATCAGAACCGTGGAGGGGAGATGCGGAAAGGACAGGGAAGAAACGGGCAGGGAAGAGCCGATACTGGCTGGGGGGGGGGGAAA